CTCCCTCCCTGTTGAAAAATTTGGGGGTTGGCCCGGCACGACCCATGGCCCAGGACCGTGTGGGCCCGTGCCGCGGGCCGGGCTGGCCCATGGGCCGAGCCTTGGGCCAAGTCTGGCCATGCATCGGGCCAAAGCTATTTATTTAAAAAAATTGACAAAAAACTTAAAATTTCAATTTTATATGAATTTTGTGTATATAATTATAATTTATATAATATTATATAAATATATATAAAATATATAGAAATATATATAATATATATAAATACTATATTGGTTGTGCTGTGCCGTGCTATCCCACAGGCCACGAGCGGCACGACCCGCTTGATCGTGCCGGCCTGTGGACCTAAAACCCTAGGCCTAGTACGACCCACATTATCGTGCCGGGCCTGGCACGGCCCGCGGACCGTCGTGTCGGGCCGATTTACACCTTTATGGTTGGTTTAGATTCTATTTTTGGAGAGATAGCCTGGATCTGATGTGACAAAGATGGTGGTAGGTTGATGACATAGTCTTGGAGGTGAGAGGGGTTCCTGGTTGAGCGCTCGGGCCAGGTATTGTGTTGAGTGTTAGGGGATGGACTGTGGGCTGGACTTCAATTTGTGGAGGTGATGGAGGTGGTGGAATAGTTTAGTCATCAAATATGATGTCTTGTTGGTTCTTGAAAGAGAATTAAGACTCATAAAATATGATGTCTTGTGAAGTAAACAGTTGGTGTGGCTCAAGGTTATATAACTTGTATCCCTTTTGGCCATAAGGCTATCCAACAAAGGCACATCGAATAGCTCTACTAGCAAATTGATCATGAGATTTGGGGCAAACCTACACATAGCATGGACGCCCAAAGAAATAATTGTCCATGCATTGTAATTAGTTGCATTTATTTTATTTATTGTGTTTTTCTTTGTTAATCCATTTAAGGGCAATCCGACTTAAATAAGATAAAGGTGGGGATTTCATCACCCTTCCTTGGCCCAACAATCACCACCCTTCACGTGCAGTTCACCCTAAACCCTAATTTAAAATTTGGATAGATAGATCCTTTAGGGAGCTTCACATTTGATTCAAAAGTGTGGTGAATTTTAGGGAAGCTTGTAATTATTTTTCATAACCAACGGTTGGTGTCTAAGGAAAGAGGTTAAACGGCTAAGCCTAAGCGGGTTTTGTGGTTACTTAATTAGGTCCTTCCGAGAGCAAGGGGAGCCTCCCACATCCCCACCTCTTACCCGGCTAACCAAAGGAAGTGGCGTAATTCCATGTGAACCTAAGAGGATTCACATTGGTTGAACCACTAGTTTAGGAAACCTTAGGTTAGCCCATAGGTCGTGTGTTTGAATTTCTTGCATTTTTTTAAATTTAAAAAATTCAAATTTGAATTTAAATTTCAAAATCTAAATTTGAATTTAAATTTCAAATTTCAAAAAAAAAGAGAAAATTAAAAATTAAAAAAATTCAAATTTGAGTTTGAATTTCAGAATTTAAATTTCAAAATCTAAATTTGAATTTAAAATTCAAAATTTAAATTTCAAATTTCAAAAAGAAGAAAAAGGGACTTCCGAGTTGTTTGTTGGGAAGGAGA